GTTTTTGACAATTGAGCAAATTAGTCAAAATTGATGAAACAATAGTAGGTAAAGTGTTACTAAGTTCATTAACATTAAAGAAGAAAATTATAAGTTAAAAGCAACATTTTTCATCATTAGACAGATTTTTTGTCCACCTTTCAAATCTTATTGGAGAAGTTGGTCTTGGTTTTGTTTCTATTGCTCTCCACTGGTTGTTGCCTTTTATCTTTTTCCTCCATTTTGCTCATTTTACGTTTTTACTATTTGAACGATATCTTTATGAGACATTTATAAATAATGAGACATTTGGTTGATCAACCATCGAGATTGATCTCTCGATCATATTACCATTATCTTTCAAGAATAATGAGACATTTGGTTGTTCAACCATCGAGATTTTTCAATATTGAAAGTGCTTTTTTGTTTTTTTTTAATCAGTTTCATGTCTCTAACATAATTTACGCACTGCAAATTACAGAAATTTTGATGTTTTTTGTTAAAAATCAATTTCCGCACCACGTAAACTAACGGGAAAAAACTCCGAAAAATACTCCAACTATTTTATTTGTGCCAGAAAAATAAACAAACTTTTTTGGTTCTCAAAAAATACATGAACTAAATAACATTATCCGTTTAATACAAAAATTTTTAAATTTTTCTTTCGAATTTTGAAGGTTTTTAGAGTTTAGGGTTTGTTACGGTCAAAAATTTTTCAAATTAATGTTTGAAAGTTTAAATTTCAAAATGGATATCTCATGGTGTCATTTTTGTAACTGACCTATTTTATAATCCGATTTGCAACTCTTTATTATTTGTTCAATGTACAATTAGAAGAAAAATCCTCTATATATTAATTGAGTAGATATTTGGTGAAAAAAATCTTAGGTGTCACTCAATGAAAGTTTTAAGGAACATGTCATTTAAATTAACCATTGAGAATATTTCAATTAAAACTGCATGTTATGGTTCAAATCTATACATATTTTTATTAATTTTATAACATAAGCTCAAGATGTTTTACAAATCTATATCCAACTAAATGTAATATTTACACTTAAAAGTAATATCTACACTTACCATATCATCTATTTTAAGTTATATATATATATATATTAAGAAGCTATTTATTATTATATTTGTAATAATATTATTTATTGTGTATATATGTATTTAGATTAATATACTATATACAAATAATGTAATTATGATGTAGTCTATTATACATATATAACTACACTTACAAATATTTATACATTTTATTATTGAAAAACATATAGTATTATTTTTTGTTTGTTATGTCTTATAAATTCATATAAATATAATACCTATTTGGTTTATCCCATGCTTTATAATTTACACGAATAATAAAAAAATACACTTAAAGTATACTGAAATAAATAACATTTGCATAAATTATGATCAATTTTGCACTTTAAAATATTAAAACTATTGGTATTAAAATATGCTTGATAAAAATTTAACTATATTAAATTTATCACAATACATATCATTTTTGTACATTTATAAATATTAGAAATCATAAGTTTTGTTATACACGTTTAAATATTAAAATCGATTAGAAAATATAATTAATTATTTAATCTCACGCTTGGCATGAATCAAAATCTAGTAATTACTAGATTAGGATCCGCATTAATATGCGGGTAAACATATTAAAAATTATGGATATTTTTTATTATTATTATTTATACATCATCGATTGCATTCAAACGTTTATACAAGAGATATCATCCTCATGGAGAATTTATAATTAGTTTGAGTTATTATGCTTTTTTATAATTTTTTCTAATTAGTTTGGACTATTATAATTTTTTTCTTCTTAATTGGTTCGAACTATAAGAAATTTTTTGTTTCACTAATGTTTTCACTTTTAATATTATTATTTTGAGTTAGTTTTAAATTTTGATGCATTTTATCATCTAATCAATATTAGACACATATCACAATTCAATGAGGTATAACTATCGCATCGCATGTTCACATCAAATACATCCTCTTTATATAATAATAGATATTAGAAAAGAACGTCCAACGGCTACTTAATACATAAACTACGTATAATTGAAAAAGTAGGATTGTAAAAAAGACAACCGACCACAACTTTTCACAGGTTGGCTTGGCGCTCCTCATTAGATCTAAAAACAAGAACTATACACTCATTTATAAATCTCGAACATTAATGTCCCTTCTATGAAACCTACAAATCTTCTAAATCAAAATGTTCCAAAGAAGAAGACCCATTTTCCAGAGGGTCTCGAAACTACTAAAAGTCTCGATCTTGAGAAGACCCATCATCCCAAGACTCAAGCTTCCCATAAAACCAAGAAGATCAACCAAAAGGGTCAAGCTCCTTAAGCAATACAACTATAGGTTTCTCCAAGAATATCGATTCTCGCCTACAAACACATCCTTTATCCGATACCGTAGTAAGAGAATTCGTATATCTAGATCGAGTCTTAGACGCATTTACGGGTTATTGTTTCTTTCCGATTGCATTGGCCGGTCCAATGATGAGCCTTTGCATTGTGTCCACGGATTTGCTTCTCCTGCAATGGAGCTGATTCCACAGTCTTTCGATTACTTCAGCGAAGATGATTCAATTGACATGAAGGCAGAGAGATTCATCGAAAAGTTCTACTATGAGATGAGGATGCAGGAGCGGGAATTTGCTTGATTGACCAAACATCAAGTGTTAATCTGCTTTTTGAGTTTTGTAATTCTTGATTGTTCGTGCTAGTTTTTTGTTTTACACGTGATTGGTATTTATTAATTTTCTCCGCATAATATTTGAGATCTTGGAGACTCATTTTTATTCCTCTGTATTTTGATTATTATTATTGAGAAATTTTAAAAAATGCCACTTTTCAAATGTCACTTTACAAAAATGCCACACTTTTGAAATCTTTACAAAAATGCCACTTTTTCAAAATTATTTTTTCTTTATATTATTTATGTTTGGGTTAATTATGTTCTATTAGGATTTAGTTTTGACTGTTTAGGGGGTTTTAGGTGTCAAAACATTTTTTAGGGTTTAGAATTTTAAGATATAGGCTTTATAAATCTATAATCAGTGAC